CGAGGCTCGGAGCAGCTGCGTCGCCTCTCGCTGCGTCACACCTTTGCTGCGTGCCGCCTCGCCAAGTCACGCGCCAAGGGTTACGCAACCCTCTACCAAATGAGGTCAGATCCGGGTCTGACCACCATTGCGACATACTGACCAGCCAAGTCTATATAGTTACTTGCTTTTGCTTTGTCGCGCGCTCATTGCTGTCTGGACACTTGTTCTATACATACTTGCTGTTGAACACGGAATAACGCTGTAATACATTTTGTACTTGTGGAGTTTATTGATTTACCGAACCCGGCAACAGGAATAAGAAAATCTCCTCACAATAAATTGTCTGAGTTGGTTAAGCTAAAGACTTACGACGGTGAGTTATACAATCAAAGGTTTAAAGACGTTTAAGCTGAAGGATTGTAAACATCATTTTAACTAATTTAGACAACAAGATTGTCTCTTTTGCTAGTATTTTGCATCTCATCTCAAGTTCATTTTGTTTCCTTTTCCCCAGAAAAGGAAGAAAGGTGATGAAAAAATAAGAAGAAAATTGAGAATCTACCAATTTTAAAAGAACACTAAGAAAGATAAAATTAGGAAATAGGCTCACTCCTTCCATTCAATGAGTACAAATGCTTTCTCACAGATGCGCTGAGCTAGCAAATGAGCCAATTTTGCAACATAATCAACTGATTCCTTTGGGCATTGCACGATAATAACATCCAGAACCTCAAACAATGTCTTTCTCCCCACCGCAACAACCAACATCTACAAGCTCCCCCTCCAACATCTACAAGATTGACTTCCATTCCCACATCATGTGAAATGTTTTATCAGTGTGAATATGGTGTAAATATACCTGTATTTCTCCTCCACATCTTTCTGCAATTTTATTCATGCCTATTTTGGTCCGTTGAATTTTCAATTAAATTTCACAGTATTCATCATGTGAAATGTTTTATCAGTGTGAATATGGTGTAAATATACCTGTATTTCTCCTCCACATCTTTCTGCAATTTTATTCATGCCTATTTCGGTCCGTTGAATTTTCAATTAAATTTCACAGTATTTTTCTGTATTTTCAAGTTTTCGAATGCATTATACTGCTGTATTTGGGGGTCTTCTTGGCCCTGCATGAAACCAATTAATTGAATTCCGATAGATTTGTATGGGAATACTGTACTTTATATGTAGTCTTGCAATTTCACCATTTCACAACTTGGCTTTAGTCCAGCAATGGATTAGGGTGAAATTGGAGGGTACCACCTGTGTCTTTGAAAATTGTGGCTAGTATACTGTAAATCGTAGCTTGCAAAATTATTTTTCCAGTTCCATTTTCAGAATCCATTCATCTTTACTTTTGTATTTTCATGCAATTTAAAATGCCAACAACTTCTCAGTATGGTAGATTTACAGCAAGTCATTTTATGGGTTTGCTTGTACCGTGGTTATTTATCATACAGTATGTACACAGGTTAGTTGGACATTTTTAGAAAAGTTATGCTGTGCATTAATTGATTAAACTTGTCAATATTCTTTCTTAGGTTGAGAATATGACTTTGTGTTTTTTCTATATTTGCGGTACCCTTTACCCAAGGAGCAGCAAGTCAGCAAACTTCATGTTGAAAATCCCGGGCAAAGTTTGGAGAATTTTGGCGCGCAAATCTTCATCCAGTAAGTCCAATTGCTGGCAGCCGCTGGAAGCATGAAAAAGAGCCTTTTTTGTGTTTCTTGTTTGACTGGATCTCTGAGGATCAAATGCCTAACCATTAGGTAACAGGGGTCATCCTTGATTTGAGTTTCCCACAATTCTTCTCATGTCATTTCTGTTCCGCAACTGGTAGAGCTCAGATGAGTTCCAAGGAAAAATAGGTTCAAGTTAGAAAAGATTGCTGAAGAGTTGGAATATTCCTTGAAACCCAAAAAGAATGTCTGAGTTGCTCAACTTTGAATGTGTTGAAATATATTATTGGTCAAAGGGCTTGCAGGTGTTCTGAGTCCTTGTTGATCTATTAATTTGTGGCATTGTCTGAATGTATTTTCTAATATTATTTCAGTCAGAACTGCAAAATAGGTTTCATGGACAGCAAGAAAACTCCAAATTTGTCTTCCAATAGCCGTGCTTCTATGAATAATCATCAGTGTCCTAATTGCAAGTCAATCCTGGTCATATTGTTATTTTGTCATCCCCAACTGATAGAGGAACATTTGAGGATAGTTGTCAAGGCAGATAGGCAACAGCATTGTCATGTCAGGAATTATTGGATCCAATTCCCAAGTCTTGGGCAACTGAATCATCTGTCTGACTTGGTGAGTGCAGCAGCCCACTAGAATCCAACAACTCACCAGAGAGCCAGGAATATCAGTGACCTATACTCCAACACAGAACCAGCAGTCACCATCAGCAACAAATCGGAAGAGCTAAAAATAATCTCAAATGTAAAATCCACCGTAAAAACAGCCAGCAACGCAGAGAGACTGGAACTCTTTCAAGTACTTTCCTTTCATATTAAACCTACTCATACCGAAGTGTCATTCATCTCCTCAAATTCCAATCAAATACAATACAATGAAACAAACTTTTACATGCAAGAGAAAAAGATTCCTTCTTTTGAGTTCCTTCTGAAGCTACATGCATAAACACTATATTCGTTCTTTCAGATAGATAAAAATTATTTTCATCATACAGAACCTTTACTTGAAAAGAAATGCATACATTCTGAAATGTAACTGAAAAAAATTTCAATGCAACATCAGTTGTACCTGACATCAGTAGGATGCCTTTTTCTTCATTGAGATTGATTTTTAAAATTGCAGTTGATAGTTACTCATTGGTGACATAAATTAGGAGTGACCAAGGAATATTGCTAATTTACTAGATAAGTCGAATAGTACGCCACAGTAAATTCATGTCCATCATAGTTCTATTGTATTTTTGATGTCTACATCCTACTTCAGTTTACTGACAAAAATTTTGAATACTCTTGTAGTATGTGTTGCAATCTCCATCTGGCATCTTACTTCTAATGCAAATTTTTCTTGTAGCCCACAAAGTCTCTTGCCTCCAACAATGCAACTTGCCATCCAAAACTACTATATTGTTTGTACCATACAATGTAATACAGTACTCATATTTTCTGAACAACAAATGTTGATAATTCATGCATCAAGCGTGACAGCTCCACTTGAGGGTCACAATGATTTTCTTGTGAGGAAGCCATTATGTTTGGGGCTAGGTCCAAGACAATGTGAACTTCAATTCATGCACATTCAAATGCTGGACTGCATTTCGAAACTCAATCATTCAGATATTCAAAATTTAAAAAATTGATAAACAAGAAACACCCAAGTAAACGAAGTTGATCAATGAATGACAAGGCATTCATCATACATAAGGCTCACTTACTGAAAAATAAATTTTAAAAAATGAGATAATGCAAGTTCTTCATTTGAAAATAAGTTTTTCAGATTTCGATATGAACAGAAGAAAAAATTAGAATTTTGAATGATCAAATTGGAAATTTTTAAATTCAGAAACCAACTCAGTGAATCAGAAAAACATCAAACGTAAAAAAATTAATATAAAAAAACAACGAGCAAAGAGGTGAAGAATTTGAAACAAAATAACCAGAAACCATACCAGTTCATTTGAAAAAAGCATGGCCGAAGCATTTGAACGATTCATGACTGGAAGCCTTTTCAAAATATTTGAACGTTCTTCAAACCAGAATATCGATTTCGGAAAATAGCTCATTCAGGTCCGTGAGAAGATCCCCACCATGGTGATCCTTCCCATCAATCAGCAGCAGTCACTCCTGTTGAAAATAGAATGAACAACTTTCAGCTATGATTTAAACAACGAAACCATTTCCACACAAAAAAAAATCAGTCCAGTCAAATTACAGACAAGGAAATTTCGGGCTTCTTCTCAATGTCCATGTTTCTAGGAAGATAACAAAAATGCATTCAAAATTATACTTCAATCAATCCTCAAACTACTGTATAAACGTCGGTTCTTTTGAATAAAATATTGGAAGTTCCTCACAATACAGTGGACCCTCAGTAAGCAAACCCCCACTTGGAAAACTCCTTGGTTAACAAACCAAACTTACAGTAACAAACTTTTGTTCACGGGAATAAATTCAAAAGTTGGGTATGGAACTAAACTTCAGGTTACAATCTGAAAGCAATCAATTCATCCATGAACTGATATGCAAAAGTTGTCTTTGTGGTGCTCTGATATGTGTGTGAACCCGTCAATTTTTTTTTATTCAGCTGCAATATTTTCATCTGTTGCAGAATTACAATACTTGATTGTCTCTGCGTTGTGTTGTTCATCGAGAACACATGTCTTGTTTGTGAAACACTCGGAGATAGTTTCTCGCATGAAGGATGCAAATTTTTGCTTCTTTTGATTTTTCACCAAATTTTTTCAAAGATTGGCAGTTTTTGCAAAGAACTTTTGAACAAGATCGTCTGCATTCAAGTGAACAAATGTGTTTTAGGACACCAGCAAAACAAATACGGTGAATTAGAATATTGGAGGATACAATAAAAACATTGAAGTTAAGCTGGAATAACGAGCCTGGCCACAAAAGTTTCCATGGAAATGTAAAAAATGTTCATTGTTGACAACACGAAGCACAAAAATCATCTTAGAAGTGAAACATTCTCAAGTTGACCGAAATCTTGCTGGAGAAAGCTTTAAATGTTCTCATAGGAGGAAAGAAAACTTCTTCACTTGGTAGTCATGAAAGTTCCAAATTTTAGGAACTTCAATAAGTTCACCATTTCTGTCGTTTAACCTCTATAAACAGGGAGATCCCTTCTCAAAATTTAAATTTTAACCTCAATGAAGATCATATAAAATGTCTGAATGACACGATGGCCCAAACTAGGAATTGAAAAAAATCATCTGGGGGGGGGGGGGAGATTTTTGGTGTTCCTGAGTAAAATGTTCATGAACAGAGCAAAAAGAATAACGTCAGAATTTTCCCAACTTAGCCCTGGATACACAGTCACGATTTTGTAGACATCTTCATGTCTCCATAGCAGAGCAAATTATCCAAAATTACCACTCCACTGCCCAGGGGTAACAAGTGGTATTCAGCCATCAGGCGTTGTGGGACAGCAATGCCCTTTCTAAGAATTGTTTTTTAGTCGTTTCAATTGTTGGAGTGCTGAATTTAGTCTTTAGATACAGAATTTCTAAAAGAAAAAATTCATCAACTGGTGACATTCATGCATGGGTAGTTTTCCGCATATGAGTCTTCTCGCGTGTTGTTTATACAGTAGTAGTCTACAATTCAACTCCGCAGAATATTCTGGGCAGAGCTACATAATGCTACAGCTGCTGAGTTCAATACGATGAATTCTCTGAATTTTAAAGTTCAACTTTCAATCTTGTAATATCTTGTAGAAGATATGATTCCTCAAGAATCTTTGGAACTGACTCACAAAATTCCACTTTAAGAAAAAGTATAGTTACCAGATTTCTTTTTCTTCTTTTTGGGAGTCTTCGGTTTTTCCGGTGCTGCATCCACATTACTCTTCCTAGCCTTCACACTTTTGTATTCCGGATGGGCAGCACTGAGAAAAGAGTTCATATGAATCGCAGACGTTCAAGAAGAGGCACATTCAATACAGCAGAAAAATTCTACGGCACATTCAATACAGCGGAAAAATTCTACAAACTCGTGTCTTTCAACATTTCTCAACAGCATAGTTTCTGCATGCACACGTTTGCTGACATTCTTCGAAAAACTCCGTGCAAGAATTCCCCTGCGCGAATCAATGGTACAACCTGGCCGATTGATATCTTCCCAATTGCGCAGATAGAAATGAGCCACGGATTAGGAATGAGCGGAGCCAACACATCTGAGATAGCTCGGCATTTGAACATCACAGGGTATGCTTGATGGATCGTTCATGTTCAATATAGATAGAATGCCGGAACCTGCTCTTTCATGATCAGCAGTTTCATCCGCGTTACGTCTTAAACGAGAGTTCTCCCAAGACACCACGAGAAAATAGCTCGAAAATCTGGAAAATTGCTGACCCATGAGAGAACCTCTACGTCAAGCCAAAAAAAATCTTAAATTCTAATGAACCAATTATTCCATCTGTCTGCGGAACACTGAGATATGAATCAAAACTCGGGTCATCTCCGGAGAAGCTTTCTTCTTCAAAATAAAGATATTCTGAGAATCGTCAAGTTCCAATAAAAAAAACTACCACCATAAAGCAGACGAACGAATGAACATTTCAATAGAACACCCGGATCTCCTTTGTGGAAGTAAGACACAACGCGTATCTTGTACTGCTTTGGTTAATGGTTAAGAAGTATCCATTCGTTAACCACAAAGTTTGAAATTTTACTCACAAAAACTCTTCTTTTCGTTCTTCGTAACTCAGCTTTTCTCTCATTGCCAAGCGAGAATACTTCGTCTTCTTTTCATCAGTGATATCCTTGAATTTTCCCCCGAGGATCTTCATCTGTGCCGCCTGCTGTAGATACGATAAAAATGTCAATTCAGAAAAACATATCGTATTCTACATTTGTGTTGAAGACTTACATCCTGCCTCACACCAGGATTTTTCCTCTCCAATATCCTTAGCCTCGCCTGGATAAAAAGGGATTTCGCAGTTCTTGGCTTTGGCGGGAAATCTGGATGTTCATTTGCCTGCAAAGACGCGTCTTTGTATTAAAAGATAGCAGAACAAGAAGAATTTGACTTGCCTCCAGCTGCTTCAGCTTAGAGCGGAACGTCTCATCCTTCAGTTTCCTGGAAACCTCGCTGGCCATCTCAAACAACGTCCGAGTTTCCGATGCTTTCTTTGAAAGCAGACGCCAGCGATCCTTAGCATCTTTTTCACTCCGCCCAGGTATATTGAGCTTTACAATGATTCAAACGTGATGAGATTAGAGAGAGGTATTCAACCAGTTCAATCAATTAATTATTAACCTTCCACTTCAGTCCTCTGAGCGAGATGGAAGCACTCCGCACATCTTCCTTACTCTCTTCCAAAACATGCTTCGTGATTTGACGATCTTCGCTGAACGTCCAGCCATTGGCTACCAAAAGCAACATTCATGCACAGAATGGACACAATAATAGATTTATACAACACTTACATGAAACTACAGGACTACCGTCGTATTGACTCTTTTGAGAACTCATTGTCCGCGGAATAAAATGAACAGTTCTCAGGTCACGATATCTATGATGCTCAAAGAAGAAGAAATGTTATTCCAATTGGTAGCATGCAAAGCCATGAATAAAATTCACATCACATGAAATTCTTTGCGGTCCGTAGCAAACACGGTCAGAACTGAAGCCACCGAAATCACAATCACTCCAAGTACAGCAGGGAAATAAAACATCATGAGAAGCACTCACAAACAACATATGTTTTCACATGGCCTATTTTTGTGGTTTGCTGCTGCAGACCAAGAGCAGCACAGGGAGAAATTCCGTCTGCCATGGAATTCTCAAAGCATGTCCCGCAACCTTTGGCCAATCCTGACACATTATCCCAGCTTCAGGATCAACACCTTTTCTTACAAATCCTTTTCTTACAAATATTCCGCAAGGCCCCGTTATGAAACCCCTGGGAGAAAAAGCTCCGCAACCCAATAATCTGGTAGACCTTAAAATTTTGCAGGGTCCAATAAAAATCTCCCTGAAACAAAATTTGCATGAGTTACAGAATTATCGGTGAGTCTGGGGATGCCTTCCAATAAGTTCCAACCGTATTTTGAAAAGAATGAACAACTGATGGACTATGAAACTGTGAGAGCGTGCGTTTTCTGTATATTGTACAACACTTTTCAAATAATTTTCACAGTTCAACTTTGCCTCTGAAGTGGAGAACTTGCATAAATTTGCGTGGAATCTAAAGTCTTCAGACGTAATAAATCTCGCATTTTTTCAATAATTTGGAAATTGTTTGCACACCATATCCTATTACAGTATCAACAGAAATTTTTCTGTTACAGCAATTAATGTACTGTATCGGGAATTTCACACCCGCGCTATTTTCGGACCCCGCGACATTTTTTTTAAGCCTTCCAAATCTGCCACGCGGTATTTTCAGGCCGCAGGATTTTCTCCGGCACCCATCATCTGCATATTCAAGTACAGTACAGTGCAAATAAGCCCTTCTCTGTTCCACACCGCAAGAATCTTGTTGCGCAAGAATCATCCAAGTTGCTTGCCAGGTGAGCTGAAGGAGATGACTCACGCCTCTTTCTTTTACTTGTCTTCCTGCTTTTCTTTTTCTTCCTCTTCTCCATCTCTTCTTTCACGAGGGGAAGGTAGGAGTCATTTTTGACAGCCAAACGTTTTCTAAAAAAAGGCCAAAAAGTTCAACTGTTGACTTACTAAATAAGCAAAAAAGCAGGAAAACATTAAACAAGCAATGGATATAATGTAACTTTCTGCTTACCCAGTGACCAGCATAAGGTCTAGCAATTGTGTCTCCAGGAAAAGAATCCTCTCCAACAGCAAACTGAACAAGTCCTTTTCAAGCATGCTGCTCCCACTCTGTATCCATTCCTCCTCTGTATGTGGGCTGAAGAAAGTGATAATAATGTTTTAAACTTTGAATACATCTTCAGTTACAAGTGCATTTACTCACATTTTAGTCTGTAGCAGTTCTGTTAGGGTTGGCACATTTGCTTGAGGCTGGAGTTTGCATTTGTGAAGGTCTGATCTATCCTTTTCTTCAGGTAGACAGGTAATAGTCCCATTCACCCAGTCCTTATATAGATTAGGAGTTTGCCAGCGGACATATTGCTCCATGGAAAAGCGTAGACTTTCAACAAATCTGCAGGCAATATGTTTCATGACGTATAGTAAGATTAGGGATTGAACAAATAATTTAGGGCTACTTACCCACACATGCATGACTTTGCCCTTATGGCATAATCTACCCAAATGTCCATTGCAAAGTTAACTGCAACATTGACATTTAACCCCTCATTAAAAACTCCATGGTAACCCTTTGGAAATGTCACAATCATATCCCAGGGTTCCTGTACAGCAATGCAGGGTACAATGCCAAAGAAGTTAAGCCAGGCCTCATCAAATAATAGCAGTTTGTGTCTCCCAACCATTGGACAGGCTCCATTGGCATACATCAGCTTCAAGATGTTCTCATATTTGGGAATATCTTTACCTTGTATTGAGTACCTGCAATAGCATAGCAATGCAATAATGAAAATGTTACATGTAAGTATCCAGCTTAAAGTTACAAAACACAAATTCTCACCAAATTTTCAGGTATCCGCCCATATGAAGGTTCACTGAAAACAAATCCATGTCTTCGCAGTGCATTGGAAATGCGGAACCCTTGGAACCCAGGAAGATGTAAGGCCAGTTCACACCTGCAATCCAGGCTCTCTGCTCTTTGAAGGAATTTGTCATCATGCCCAAGGCATTGCCAATGAGCATAGAGAGATCATAACTGCATCGCTTCTGGAAAAGAAAGTAGAAGTTGACACCTTTTTGTTGTGCATCATCCCAGTCCAACATGCGAAGAAGAAATTAATGCAAAATCATAAAGGATGGACATTCTTTGGTTCTATAAGGGGAAACTTACTTTGAAATCTACTTCCTCTTCGGGATCCACATTAGCAGAGGCTCCTTCTTCATCAGCCTCCACATGCAACTCAGTCACATAAGTCACAGCCTCCGTCTTCTGATCTACATGAAGTCTCCTCAAGGTGTTCCAGAACATTTGTCTGGTTTCCATACCAAAGGTATCTTCACTGGACCTAGTGCTGTTGGTGGATTCCCCATGAGGGATGGAGGCAGGATGCAAGGGTGGGTAATGCATTTCTCCTTTCTCCGAAGCATCACTTGTTGGGTGCATCACACCACTCTTGCGTTATCTTCACTGGACCTAGTGCTGTTGGTGGATTCCCCATGAGGGATGGAGGCCGGATGCAAGGGTGGGTAATGCATTTCTCCTTTCTCCGAAGCATCACTTGTTGGGTGCATCACACCACTCTTGCGGAGTTTCTTGAACACTTTTTCTTCTGTTTCCTCATCAGGATGACGACGCCGTATCACATTCTCAACAGCAAAAGCTCCGCAATCATCCACTCTCCTCAGCCTCTGATCATTAATACGCTGTTACTTCTTCTTTGATATGGCAGCCCAAATCGTATCATCCGTCTGAGACTATGATACAGTAAGACTTTAGTCAACTCACTATCTAGTCACCACAGAGATCTGATAATCCTGCAGGAAAGGAAGCACACTACTTAGACATTTCAAACACAGTTGTAATTCAGTCAGGGTAGCGGATTCACTATATACACAATGGTCTTATCCAAACAGAGGTCAATGATGGAATGAGGCTGCGCGGGACCTCTTAGTCAACAGTTGCGCACGGCGCATGTCGAGTGAGCCCTGATTCGGCAATACAAAACAAAGGTACAAAATGATCTCATACGCAATGGCTTCCTGTCACGCGGGACAGTATGGCCAATGGTGGCGGTTACTCTCCCCCCCTTTGAAAAAGAAGATGCCGACAGCGGCAAAAAAAAATTGGGGGGTGGAGGCCACTGGTTTTGGAAGCGCGCAGGCCGTCGTCGGCGTTGGTGTGGTTGTCTTTGGCGTCCGGGAGGGTCGGGGTCTTGATCCTGTGGTTCTGGGTCATCGTTACTCCTCGTCGGTGATTGGGCCCTGGCTGTTGAGTCCAGTGACCAGGTTTGCCTGTTTGGGTTTGACGTCCGTCTCCTCTTCGGCGGTCGTCAAGCTGTCAGAGGACTCGGCCTCGTTTTTGCTGGTTGAAATAGCTGGCCCCGGCGTCGGAGTCCGCGGCGTCATCTCTGGCAGGTTCAGATCCTTGCTCGACACTGGCGATGGGGCACTGCCCTGGAGGTGGCGCGGTGGACTCTGGCTGTGGTGGTGTGGACTGTTGTCTGGGGAATGGTGAGTCGGACTGTTGCTGGATGTACTCAGCAAAGTCTGGCTCAGATTTGATGTCGTTGCCGCAGAACAGTGAGCTGGTTTGGGCTGGTGGTGCCGGCGAGTGCAGTCGCCCCAGTCTTGTCCTCCAATTTGGTGGTGAGCCGGAACCCTGGGCGTGGAGTCTCATTGTCGGTATCCTGTAATGGAGGAGAAGTTTGAGAATTAGGTACGGGTTGTAGATTGGTTGGGCATTTTGGAGCCGGAAAGGAAGGGGGGAGTAGAGCTGCATTTCCCAGGCGTTCGCGCATTGTGGTCCCTGTGGGGTGTCTATGCTATATTTGGCTTTCCCGAGTCGGGCCAGCACTCTGAAAGGGCCAAACCATTTGGGAAGAAAACGTCTGGTGGCGGCGTGCCGTTTGGTTGTTTTGAGACGTGGTCTCAGTACTACCATTTGACCTCTGTGAAAAGGCGTATTCCGCCGTTTATTGGCCTGCTGCGTGTAGCAGGCTTGGTGCCTTGTGCGGATGGTGCCCACTTTTTGTAGTTGGTTGCTGATGTCCCTTTCCGGTGCCTCAAATTTAATGTTGCACGGCGTGGGAATTGGTTTCCAATGCCACAGCTCAATAGGGGGTAGCCCTGTTGCGGCATGTGGAGTCCAGTTGGAAGCCATGGTTGCTTTGTGGAGTACCGTGTCCCAGGAGGTTGGGTCCGGTGCCGTTTTTGCCAGGATGGTTGTCAGTGATTTGATTGCCTGTTTGCATGCCCCGTTTCCTTCCGGGTGGTATGGCTGCGCAACGTGCGATGTTATTTGGTTGGCTTTGATGAACCTTTGAAAAGCTGCTGAATTGAACAAGGCTGCTCTGTCCAAGTGGATGATCTCGAACGAGCCTAGCTGGGCACATACGTCCGCTAGGAAGGAGCAGAGGGCGTTTGCTGTTGCTCGTTTGATTGGCTGGGCCACCACTCTGCGGGAGTAGTAGTTGACAGCCACCAATGCATACCGCTGTCCTTGCTTGGATGGCGGGAATGGCCCCCAGAAGTCAATTCCCAGTCTGTTGTGTTTCTTGGCTGGGGGGACTGGCTCGGTTTGTGCGCCGATTCGTGATGTGGCTGGATTGAATGTAAAGCACTTTTCACAGCTTGTCACATGATGAAAGACATTGGCCCTGAGTGTGGGCCATGTGTAGCGGTGGCGCAGTTGGTCAAACGTTTTTTTCCAACTGGGGTGCCCCATTTCCTCATGGTATTCTCGTATCAATTGCATTTGCATTTGTGGATCTGGCACTTCCTTCAATTGTATTGGATCCTGCTGAGTGCATCTGGGCCTGTCAGCGTTTTCCCTGGGCGGTGGATGAGTGTGTACTGGAAATATTCCAGCTTTAATTTGAGGCTGATGAGCCGTGTATTGGACAGGTCGCCCAGTAGTGCCTTGTGGTCCATGATGATTTTAAATGGTGGATGCTCAATGTAGTGTCTAAATTTTTTGGTTGTGGCCCAAACGGCTGCTAACAGTTCTTGTTGTGTATTCAAGTATCGCGTTTCTGCGGGGGTCAGGACTTGGCTGGCGTTTTCCATAATGTGCGGCTGGGCCTGGTTGTCCACCTGCACTAGGATGGCCCCAATGGCGGTTGCGGACGCATCGCAGTGGATTTCCGTATCCCATGATGGTTTGAATCGTTCCAATTGGGCTGCTTGGGCTATTGCGGTTTAGAGGCTCTCAAAGGCTGTTTCTGCGTTCAGAGTCCATTGGAGAGCCGTTGCAGGTTTTACCGGGATCGTGGTCGGCAGTACCTTTTCCAGGTTGGCAAAGTTGGTTGGGACGTGTGCTCGAAGATATGTAGCAAGTCCCAGGAACCGCTGCATTTGCCTGGTTGTAGCAGGCTTTGGGAAGGCTTCTACTGCTTGCAGGTGCTCATCTGCTGGGCGTGTGCCTGTCTTGTCCACAATGTGCCCAAGGAATTTTATTGATTCGGCTAGGAATCATGACTTTTCAATGTCTATGGATGCTCCTGCTTGCGTGAGGGTGTCCATGACCTTTGTGAGGTTTTCCACCACGTTTTCAAAGGTTGTTCCAAAGACAATAACGTTGTCGATGTAGACAAGGCACTTCATGTAGAGGTGTGGCTGGAGTATTGTATCCATGGTCCTCTGAAAGATTGCCGGTCCGGTTTTGAGCCTGTAGGGCAGGACGGTGTACTGCATTTGTCCTGTGGGCATTGAGAAGGCTGTTTTATGGCAATTGCCGTGGGCTAGCGGGATATGATGATAGCCCGCATGTAAATCGAGACAGCAGAAGTATCCATTCTGTCTGCCAAGAGCATCCAAAATGTCCTGTATTACAGGCATTGGGTAATTATCTGGCAGTAGCACTTCATTGATCTCGCGGTAATCTTCAACAATGCGCCAGCGTTTGATTGCTGGAGCATTGGGATTGTCGCTTTTTAGTGTTACGAATGCCGGCAAATTGACCGTTGATTGGGCAGGTTTGACTATCCCTGCGCGGATGTAATTTTGAATGATTTCGTTCAATGCCGGTAATTTATCCGGCAATAGGCAGATCCTATGGGGGGGTTCCAGGTCCTGCCCATTTGTTGGCAGCAAAGCTACATGTTGAGGGAATAACCCATGCTTTCCGCTCCATTGGAAAATGTTGGCCTCATATTTCCTGAGCAATTGGGCTACGATGGATTGTTCGTTTTCTGATCTGTGAACAAAGGTAATGCCCTCGCCAACCGGGGCGCAGGGTATCTTGTTTGTTGGTTTGATTTTCTGAAAGCCGGAGAAGATGCGTTGCCCATTGAGGGTGACGCAGAAGGGGAGGTCTTTCAGCGTGTCTAGCCCAAGAATTACCGGGTAACGCGCATTTGAGAGAAGGAAGAAAGAGGCGTGGTAGGTTGCCCTGCCAAAAATGAAGGGTGTACTCATGGAATGGCTAACGTTTGTGGAAACGTGAAGGATCCCGGCAGAGATCTTGGCTTTTGTAGGATGGGGAGTGAGTCCCACTTCTTCGGCAACGTCCGTTGCCATGAAAGATTTGGTGGCCCCCGTATCAATGAGGGCAGTGACGTGATGTCCTTTGATGCTGATGATCATTGTGAGGCTGTCGTCTTTGGGTGTCGGGATCGAGCAGAGGACAGCCATCACTGCCCGATCTTCTTGTTTCCCTGCTTTGGGCATGCCGCCACTGTGTGGCCTGTAAGACCACATTGTACACATTTATTCGGCTGCACCATTTGTGGGCCCTGCGCTGAGGTCACCTGGTTAGCCGGATTGTTGCGACACTCAGCAGTTGAGTGGGCCACCATTTGTCCTGGGTGGTAGCTGCACTGGTGTAAGGTTCGGTTTGGAGAGGCCTTCCCTGGTGTCGCGCTCCTTGTCCCTGTTCCCATCCGGGAGCACTTGGCCATTGTATGGAAGACGTAGCACTGGTGGTGATCACAGTAATGCTTTACAATGCTGTTTGCTGTTGTTTTTGGAGGCCTTGCTGCACTATTCGGGGTCGGTGTCGCCAGTTTCAGGGATGCTGGGTGGGTCTGTTGGTACTCGTCTGCGAGCGCTAGACATTCATCCCAGGATAGATTGAGGTCAGCGGTCGCCCTTGCGTGTAGCTGTGAGTGCAGTCCCCAAATTGTGATCGCGAGGAGCTGCCCGATGAGGCCTGCTGTGATGGCTTGTTCCTGGTTTGGGAGTTCTTCTGCCGTGAATGGCAGGTACCGGATGTATTCTGCTTGCAGGCGATCGCCGAATTGCGTCCAGGTCTCCTCAGTTGTTGGCCAAATGGCCAAAAAGCGTTGGAAGTGCTCGAAGGGGGACAGGCCAAACCTTGTTTTGAGGCGCTCCCTGATCGCGTCGTATTTGACGTACCCCTGTTCATAGAGTACTTGCGCTGCTTCCGCGACTTTTGGTTGTGAGTGCCTGATCAGGCAGTCGATTTTTGTGAAATTTGATGTGTTGTCATGACAGAAAGCAATTGCGAGCCCCCGCAAATACACTTTGATGTCTTCATTCACAGATTGCTTCGGGTAGTCTGGTACGCATTGGCGTAAGAGCTGGTCCTCAATGTGTTGTGCGGAGGGGCCAGCTTGCAGGTCCGGCAGCATGTTCATGACAACGTGGTATGGCATGACGCCCCATGCTTGTAGGGCTACCACGAGATCTTCTCGGTTGTCCTGCACGGATCCGGGGATGCAATGGGTTGCACAGTACACGCAAATCGCGGTTAACATCACATTATTCCAAGGATTTGCTGCTGGATTCAGCGACGGGGCGGGCGCCTGGGGGGATCCCAAAGTACCTGCAGGAGATTCCCTTTCGGGGATGGTTTTGTTCTGCTCATTGGCCATAGTGCAATCACGTTTGGCTGAGCCCCCAGTAAGACTTTAGTTGACTCACTATCTAGTCACCACAGAGATCTGATAATCCTGCAGGAAAGGAAGCACACTACTTAGACGTTTCGAACACAGTTGTAATTCAGTCAGGGTAGAGGATTCACTATATACACAATGGTCTTATCCAAACGGAGGTCAATGATGGAATGAGGCTGCGCGGGACCTCTTAGTCAATGGTTGCGCACGGCGCGCGTTGAGTGAGCCCTGATTGGGCAATACAAAACAAAGGTACAAAATGATCTAATACGCTATGGCTTCCTGTCACGCGGGACAGTATGGCCGATGGTGGCGGTTACTATACCGGTCCTTTTCCTTTTGAGTCAAGGGCCACGATAAGGTCAGGGATGCATCGGAGCTTCACCATACCATTGGTCCATGCTCCTCTTTCATTTATTTAAAAAAACTACTTGACCAGTTTTAACGCTATCAGGAAGTTCCTGTACAGCATGCAACCTGTGTAAAACTTTCCTTTTACGTATAGGAAGTGCGAGTAAAAGAGTGGGAAAGAAGAGACCTATAATTCAGAAAAAATTGTCAAAATACATCCATTGTTTTTCACTTACCTGTAGCCAACAGCTCAAGTTCAAAACAGCAAATTACTCCACAGAATAATTACCCCATCAGCAACTCCCCCAGCACATAAGCTCAACTATATATACAGATCCTGCACAGCATACGGATGACATATGATGAAAATGAACCCAACTCCAGCAATCCTTCACAAAACAGGTGCTCCGCAAGGCAATTTTCCAGCTTGTTACTTTACATCATTCAAGATCATACTCATGGGGGTTTTTATACAAATTTTGTGCAGTACATGTGTCAGATAGCGCAGCTTGGGACAAGTTCATTCATTTAAAAAAAATGAAAACTAGGTGTCCCACAATATCAATTGCTGCACAATGGGTGTATGATGCATCTGCAAAGATTAAATGTGTCCATCTTCACACAACACATGAATGACATGATACATTCATCAAGGAACATGGAATTTACGCTGCTGCTGCTTATTCCTTCAAAGGAATTATATGGTCCACCCGATATGCAGGATATTTCCATGGTAAATATAGAGGCTATGATGTGCCTCATTCATGGATAAAATAGGGCACAATAACCCTGCTGCGATATTACAACATAGATCACATAGATCGTGGACGGGCCTGCCTTCCTTATTCAAGGCAATGGTGCAGTTTTATGTAAGGGACATCAGAAATTTTGAGGAACCAGCAGAACATTGTATTATTACTGCGAGTATATTCGTCGGTATTTTCATGACCACAGGGCATTTTTAGGTCTATTTTTTCCATGCATGAGTGAAGAAGGGTGAAGAATGGTCATTTTTGACAAGGCAATTCAGGGGTGAATGCATGTCATCCGTAGCGCTCCCTTCCACTAGAAGTGTATTCAGCGGCAATTATGCTGAAAATCAATCACATCACAGGTCCTCGGGTAGCAGCAGTACGTCAACATCAAGGGGTTTCTATAGAAGCCCCAGAAATCTGTAAAACAATGATGAAATTATTCGTCTATTTAAATTTTGGCCTAATTAAACATGCAAGGGATCAAACAAAGATATTACAGAAGATCGACTCTCTGTAAATGAAAATAATGAGGTTTATTAGACGACCTCCTAAAAACGGTACATCTCCCGAAGTTTATACTACCTTGCGCATGGGGGTCACCGTGAGCTCACGAACGGTCCCCAATGCGGTTGGTGACAGGGCAGGGTTCTTTTTTTTTTTTCCTATTCAATTTTTTCCAACGGACTCTTGAATGATGCTGAACCTGCTGCTTAATTTCAATGCATTTATAATTTCTATGTCGAACATGTTGCAGGCAAATACTTTAGCATGAATCAATTTCTCAAAAGTGCAAAAAAGAAGCAACCCTGGCCAAAAAATAATCTTCTGAGAACTAATTTGTTTGTGTAATTCATGGAACTAGCATTTTTCGAAGAAAATACAGCATTCCTTGGTACAAAATTTGAGCAGTCATTAAATTTCCACACTTGACATTCATTGCTTGCCTGATGAATCCTTTTCATCAATGACGGTGAAATACAAGAGAGATTTTATGGGGATAAATTTGGTTTTGATGTAATAAGGAAGCTTGAAGGAAATGCCATAAAATACGGTTAATAATACAATTTAAACACACATTTTAAGTTATTGCTGGTGGTACCCAGCAATAACCTCTGTTCTAGAAGTTTAAAAACCCATGCGGGAAGTTTTTCCAACTGTTCGGCATATATCTCTTAGGGACACATTGTACGTTTTGCTTGTCTTCTTTGGTATGTGTCATACTCTGACTTCATTATTTGAACAACGTCTACTCCTCTCAACATCCACATTCTTAATGAAATTGTTCAATGTGATGTGCAAGAACCATCACGATGATTTTGATGGATCAGTAAAAACCAAGGAACTGAGAAGAGTAAGGAATATGATAAAGATTCCTAATGTCAGATGAACATATCCAGACAATGTTCAATATGGTATGTGATGTGCAAGCACCATCACAATGATTTTGATGGATGAGTAAAAACCAAGGAACTGAGAAGAGTAAGTAATATGATAAAGATTCCTAATGTCAGATGAACATATCCAGAAAATGTTCAATATGGGAATACAGTAAAAGTATACGGTAATTGATATCTTACACCAGAAAAAGGCTGTATTGTGTCCCAGGTACAGGAGAAGATTTTTCCGTGATGAATTTTACACAAAAGGAAGTAAGCTTCAAAAAATTCTGCAATTTTGAAGCCATCATGAATGTCTACTTTGACAGATGATGTATTATTTATATCTGGAGCACACAATTCAACTATTTAATGAAATACCTTTGCTGATGCGGTAGAACATCCAGCATCAGGTTTATACAAATCTTTTCAGACAAGCACTGGCACAGATGGAATTACACGCAGGAAATGTTGCTAAATTGTTAAAAATGCTAGAATGAATGCTAACAAGCCAGAGCATGAAATAACATCACAAAACAGTTACCTAACTGTACTATGAAGGCATTACAGAGAAGGAACATGGAACATTTTACAATAAATTTATTCATAAACTCATCCGCACAACAAATTCTCCCCACATTTTCACATAACTGTAATGGGAAACCTCTGATATGGAAAAATCTCCTTTCAATGGAATTGAATACATTTTTCAGTGTACAAGTTAACAACACCATAATAAAAGCCTGAGAATAACACAGAGAGGACAACCTCACAAGTGATCAACTGAGGAAAAAACCCACAGTACCCGCCTCCACATGCACTCTGAAGCTCATACTCAATGGTTAAAAATTCCTTCTCACATTTCAGTCTGAAAAAGGCACAGGTATCCTGAGACCTGTACGGAAATAGAAAGCACCGGCAATAATTCATGACATTATATCAAAACCTTCACAGCACGAACTCAGTAACCCTCAAACTCTTCTCTTTCAGAGCCAGCAAGTTCCCCCCATTCGTTGATTGACTTCATTTTTCGTGTAGGAGAGTAGGACTGATAATCACAATAAACTCAAGGGAAATTTATTCTTCATATCAGTCACAGGTTTCTGTTTGCTTTAAAAATACGATTGCTATTATTCCATACACTCAAAATAATCTTGTTGATCATTGAATGGTTTACAAACTGACTTAAGTGAGCTACTTATACAGTACTATACAGTATATAAAAAACCATGCGATTTCATATGAGTAAAAAAAGCAAGTTGTCAACTAGCATTAAAATAAGAAAAACTAACTTGTGAAGATCCTCCGACCTTGATTTGTGCCTTTCCCTTGACGAGGGTAGCTGCTATTTGCATTATGATCGCTTCCACCGTGTATGATGAGCTCCAGCCCTGTTTGGTGAGCAGCTTCATGCAAATGGCACCACCAATAAGTACCTTGCCACGTACCCACCTCCGATTATTGGATGCACAACCAGGACAAACTGAGGATCAAACGGGTAAGAGTCCTAAAAGATAAAAATGTAATCAAATGCTACTCGCGACCACATTTTTCGACGTCCAATGCATGAAATATGCATTATAATCTTCAGCAATGCAATTGTACATCAGTATACAATCTCATGGAGCTTTTCGATGGAGAGAAAAAAGTACAGTAAGCCACCGAGTGAATCACGATTCCTCACAAAAAGCCATGCAGCTTGGAACTTTGGAGAAGGACACAAACTCACCTGAAAGTGAAACGAAGAGGATGTGGTCAATTCCCTCTTTTTCCTTGAGGATCACCAAATCTTGAGATAATTGCGAATCCGGGTCTACATGCCTCAGACAAACTTGCCATTAGTACAAATTGTCGTTCAGTAGTTCAACTTTGTAAACACCTACAATGAAAAACTGGTTTCATACCGCTCACCAATAAAATTTCCTTCAACTTTTCATACCTTTTTTAAAGCTTTGGGAACGGTATATGTCCCTGAGTTCCTTCATGAGGCGATCTGAAGCCTGGACTGAATGATTCGGGGTTCCTTTGCTCAGCTCATTTTGCTGCGTAGCCTTCAATCGCTCTAGCGTCATCAGGTGCTCAGTTTCAATACCCTCATCCTGGGGAAAAAAACAAAACAAAAAACGTTCAATTACTTCCGTAATAATGAAAAAAATAATTCGGTGGGGTAAAGAAATCGATGTTTACGAAGAATGGATATATTTTAGAATGTGGCGATAATGAAACTCAACAAACAACACTCCTGGAAAACCAGCAATTAACTTTTACCACCGAACTCTTTTATTATGAAGCGCAGGAACACTTCGTTCGCACAAATAAAATTGGATGATCACGAAGTTGAACATTAGCAGATCGAACAAGACGTTCAGAAAATGCATGGTGTGAAGCCTACATGGATCGGCACAGTTAAAAGTGAATAATTACCTTTTGAATAATTACTGACACTTGGATCCTCCATTTCAATACGGATATCATCGTCCTTGAATTCCTCTCGATCGCCATCATCCGATCTTCAGCATCCTCGTCATCATCCGCATCAACGTCGTCGTTTTCCATCCCTTCGTCGTCGTCTTCCGCTCCTCCATCAGTGGCACTCGAACCACTTCGTGCCATCGCACGGCGCTTCGGACCATCA